CCCACCCCCACCGTTTACATCCACCTCTAGTATTATCATATCTACCGCCACCACCTCACCACCATCTCCACCGCTGTCTCTCCATTTCTTTAGTGTGTGTCTGTGTGTTTTTTCTTTCTTTCCTTTTAGACTCTGTTTGTGTTGTGTACTTCCGTTTTAAAAACTTACTCTCTTTATTTTTAATCTTATCCACTTCTTCTAAATCTTAGCTTACTCTAAAATAACTCTTACCCAAAAAATCTATATCTTCACAAATTTTCTTACTATTTAAAGTCATTCCCTTTTCATTTTTTCTTTTTCTGTATTTGTATATGTGAGTTATCTTGAATTCTAGCTTCATACTTAATGGGGTTTCTTTCCTTTATCTACTAGTAGGATTTATGTGAAAATCTTGAATTTTTAAGTTTCTATTTTTGAGTTTTTCTGAATTTTATCTATAGTTGTTTAAATTAGCTCTAAATAAACCATCTTTGTTCCTGAATTAAGGTCTTAAGTATAGTATAGTGTTGTCTTTTTTTCTTTTCTTTTTTGATATTTTAAGGGAAGAGAGTTAGGGAGGAAAAAAAAAGAATTAAAATGGATCAGAGTAGATTTCAGCAGCAACCAATAAATTCAGGTTTAACTAGGTATAGATCTGCACCAAGTTCTTATTTTTCTAGCTTATTAAGTAGTACTCCTAGTAGTGGTGGTGGTACTAATATTACTAGTGGAGGTTGTGGCTATGCAAGAGATGATTTTTCTCAATTACAAAATTCTCGTGGTTCGAATAGTACTGATATAGAACAAGTTTTCGCGAAATTTGTAGCTAGTATTGGTAATCAGGGCTCGAATTCGGGTAGTTTTAGTAGTACTCAACAAATTCAGGATAATCCTACGAGTAATATGAATGTGAGATCAGATTTTATTGTTCCTAAACAAGAGGTTAAGCAGCAGCACGAGCGATTAACACGACATAGGAGTAGTGATTACTCTTTAGTTTCACTGATGAATTATCAAACTCAAGCTCAACAACAGAGCCAGAGCCAGTTTATTTCATCTGTGAAACAAGAACCTGAAATGAATTACCAAAACTTAGCTCCACAACGAATTGACAATTCGAAGGTGGCTACTTCATTGGCGGCTGTAGATAATTCATTTACATTCATGACTTCAGTGAATTCGACTGGTGTTTCACCTGTGAATATAGGTGGTAGAGTTGGTGCTGGTGCTGGTGTTGGAGTTGGTGGTGGTAATACGAATCTTACTCGTTATAACAGTTCGCCTGCTGGATTCTTTGACTTGATCAATATTGAAAATGGTATGCTTACTCTTGGTTAAATAGTGTTGATTGAATTTATAGTGTTGATATGAAGATAATTAGTACATCCATTTTAAGCTTATATATTCATAGTATATGTTTTCCATCTTGTGCTTTTAACTAATTAAGATTCATAGTGTATACATGTATTTGAAGAAAGGATTTAATTGTTGCAGATAATTAAAGGATCCCTTTTGAGTAGATGCAAAATAGGCTGACTTGCCATGTAGTTGTCGTGTGTATCGATATCAGGGGCGGATTTAGGAGGGCGGAAGGGGGTTTAGAACCGCCTAAAATCGGGTTTTTACCTCTATATATTATGTTTTGAACCTCCTTGACACAACCCAAAAGTATAGCTTAGTGGTCAAGCGGGTTCAAAACCTTTGTTGTAAGGTCATTGGTTCAATTCCCACTAGTTACAGTCTTTTTCAACTTTTTTCTTTTTTGAACCCTCTTAACGAAAATCCTGCCTCCGACCCCGATTGATATTACTTATGGTAATTGAAATCTAGATAACTTTAACGTACAAATAGGATTCTTGTTGGCATTGACATCCTGTTATAAACTCCCTTGACACTAGAGATATCCGGTCGAAGAACAGTAGGTCATTATTGTTACACCGACCATTAGGTCGGATGTTTTCTATTTAGATTCCCGTCTCTTAGAAAGAGGAGTCATATATATAGATAGAGTTGGACTGAAATATTTTCTTGATAAGTGAGTTCTAGTGAAAATATTCTAAGATATAGATAAGAGGGTCACTAATATGATGTAACAATAGTAGATTTTGAATTGCTTTTGAATTTAAGTAGAACTTTGTGGTCATCACAACTGTTTAATCTGACAATAGAGTTTAAGTTTGTTGCTAAAATTCCAGCAATTGACAGAATATGGTGGTATGCGAGGCATAGGGAGTTACGGAACTGGTGCTAATGCTACAACAGAAGCTTCGTTGTTGTCTTCGAAGAGATTCAAGACTCAAGTGGGAATCTCATCGGGGAAACCTCCTGCTTCTCCAGGGCTAATGACTCCAATCTCTGAAATTGGAGATAAAGTCGTGGAAGAAAACAGCATAGGCGATGAACAGAAGAACGATGAGAGTTGCATTACAGATTTCCCTATTCCTTCTTGGGAAGATTCACATATTCTGTCCGACGATTTCCTCAAAGCTGAAGACATTGAGATTGAGCCATTCTCTAATGTAAATGCATCTAATATTCAGGTAATCTTTTGTTATTAGTGTGTCGTTAAAGGTGTTGTATGCATGATTAATTGATCCTCGTCTTGCACCTACGTGATTTTCTTGATGATCAGAATAGTGAAGGTCTATCTCGTCCGCCAATTCCATTATCTCATCATTTGAGTTTGCCCACAAGTACATTGGAGAAACTCTTGCAAGATTCAACACCCTTAAATGTCAGAGCAAAGAGAGGTTGCGCCACTCACCCTCGTAGCATCGCAGAAAGGGTAAACATTTTTAACACTAGAAACAAATAAACATGTGACATTTGGATTTGATCAAATTGATGTATCTAATAAACAGATTAGGGAAGGAACGATGGGGTAGAGAGAAAGCGAAAGAGCTTTAATATAATCCTTACGGTTCTTGACATAATTTTTAGGTGAGAAGAACAAAAATAAGCGATAGAATGAGGAGGCTGCAAGATCTTGTTCCTAACATGGACAAGGTATAATCTAAACTTATGAATTTTCGCCAAAATCTGATATAGTAGTAGAAATTTACTGTATTCATTTTGTTTTTTTCAATACATTGCAGCAAACAAATACAGCAGATATGTTGGATTTTGCTGTAGATTACATTAAAGAGCTGGAGAAACAAGTCAAGGTAAACAGTACTAAAGAGCTTTGGATCACAATGAGCAACACCAAGGGATTTCAGATTCAGTAGCTGATCTAGACTAGACGCAACTGACTTTACCTCTGTGCGAGAGAAAATTGACATATATATATAAAGCAGAATCAGCTGACTGACTTTAAATCCTGGATTCGCTTAGATTCTATTTCAAGACATTGTACAATATAACATCTCCTTTTTATCTTGTATTCTTTGCAGATACTAGCAGAAAAGCGCGCCAAATGTACTTGCACGAATAAGTAAAAGAGCCACATATCAAAAGTTGAGGGCAGGACAGCCTTTTATATTTTGAAGGAAGATAAAAAGGAATTGGCAATGGAAATAGCAAGCAGAAGTGGATTCCCTTTTGGGATTGGCATTTTGGTGGGTAGAAGCAAATACATTTGATGCAACATAATAGAGTTTGCGCCGCACCTCGAGTATTCCACCGGATATTTACTATCTTCTACTATCATAGCTCGAGTATTCCACCGGATATTTACTATCTTCTACTATCATAGCTCGTGGAATACTTGCTATTTCCTATCAATACCACTATCGAGTAACTCTATCCGGCGCAAGGCATAACGTAATGTAATGTAATGTAATAAACTTAACTGTACATATACTTTTATTGTCTATTTTACTTGACCTTTTGTGTCTATAAAAGGTATAGCATGTTGGAACTTGTGTTTTTTGTGGAACATTTTAGGTGAAAGATAGTTAGCTCTCCTTTATGATGTATACACGTGTCCAATTTGCCTCCGATCATATATGTCTAATTTGTCTTTTTATTTTGATCCAAAGTAAGTGTTCGTTTATATAATAAAAAAAAATTTAATTTATTTTTTTAAAATTACCCTTATGTACGTATTCCTAAAAAGTCTTTTACTCCTCACATTAAATTATGATGTAACATTTAATTAAGGATAGTTTAGTCATACTAACTATTTATGTTTAAAATTTAATATTTTCTTAGTGGGTGTGCCCAAGCTCCAAAGCAAATCGATCACTTATTATGGACCGGAGAAAATATTTATTAGGAAAAAAGAAAGCACAACTTTGTAGACCCCTCTAATTTTTATTTATTTTTTGTCTAATTTAGTCCTTCTAAGTTTGCGTTGAAGCTGCAGCATGCTTTGTGTCAAAGCTTTTCTATCTCTTTGTTCCAACAAAAAAACGAAAAAAAGAGTTTTTTCTAGTAAAATATTGGATAAACATTTTGATAGTTTCACTTATATCACTTGTGTAAAGAAAAAAATTTACTTTCTCCGTTTCAATTGAGGTAGTTTGATTCGGCACGAAGTTTAAGAAAAAGAAGAAGATTTTTAAAACTTGTAGTCTTAAAAGCTTAAGGGGTAAAAGCTTTGCAAAGCTATGACATTTGTATAGTTATAAAAGCTTCTCATTAAGGATAAAATGGGTAAAATGAAGAGTTTAAAGTTGAATTATTTCCAAATTTAGAAATGTATTATTTATTTTGGAACAGACTCAAAAGAAAAGCACCTCATCTAATTTAAAATGGAGGGAGTACCAAAGATCCTTCCGGTTGTCTTCCTCCGCTCAAAATCCACCTCCCTTTTTTAAAGGAAAAATGTATTGTATATAGTGGCGGACGCACGTGGGGGCAAGCGGGTTCAACTGAACCCGCTTCATCAAAAAATAGTATTTTATATATGTATAAATTACGATTAAAGCTGCGTAAGTTTTGTATAAATATTTTATTTGAACCCACTTGACAACTAATATTTTACGACTAAAGTTATGTGCTTCTAAAATTGAACCCGGCCGCTTGCACAAAATTCTGGGTCCGCCACGACCTGTATATAACTTGAATCGAATAGTTGGGCTACCCCTTCCCTTGGCTTGGTTAACTATATAAGAGAATTCGTGGATAAAGCAAGTTAGACCTTATGTAGGGCGAAAGATTTATTGGATGGTTCATTCCAGTATGAAGTTAGTCTAAGTTATGGAATTGGCAGAAGTTTCCCCTTAACCAACCCTAACACGCAATTCTTAAGTCATTCAATCCGCTTTGAATCTAACTCCGTGATTGCTAGGATGGGGTTTTAAGCTCTCATGTCATGATCATCAAAGCGAGTCTAATAGTGGGTACAATTTTTACTAGTAGGATAGGTGTGGTCTCATATAGGCTTCTACTCTAGTGGTATCTGTGAAAGTCTTCCAAAGGACGGGGTTCAATTCTCATCTTTCCAAATTGAGTAGAACCTATGTAGTTGCGCGTACACAGGGGCCGAGCCAGCTCATTGAGTGCGGGTTCGGTCGAACCCAGTCGCTTTGGTCCAATCTATGTATTTGTCTTAAAAAATGCATTGAATATGTATAAATTATTAATTTAGAATCCAGTGACTTAAAAGGACTAGAACCCCAAACTCATAAGCTTCAAATTCTAGCTCTACCTCTGCGCGTATATATCTGTTCATTAAAAGCAAGAACTTTTATATTTTTTTGATTGTGTAATATCATAAGAACTCAATTAGCCCACATTTATTCTTGGTTAGAGCTTACAATTTAGTTTCCTAGGCAATTGATTGAGTGGTGCTTTAACTTTTTGAGAGCCAGAAAATAATTGATGGATTCCCATTACGAATATGTCCACAGAAAATTTACACGGGTTCGTTATTTATTTTCTTTAGAGTTGTTGCTTGTATTTATTTAGTGTTTGTAATTTGCTAGTGTGAAAGCTATTAATAGTGTTGGCCATTTCTGGTAAGGAAATTGACATGTTCCACATATTCATTTCCCAAACCTACCTATATCCTATTTTTTCTGTTCACTTTTACTTGTCCCCTATTTTAAAATAGATTTTATTTTTACTTGTCCACTTTCGCATATTAAGAGAAAAATAATTTATTTTTTTGTTTTGTCCTTAGCATTAATTACTCATTCCAAATCATTTTTCAAATCCATTAAGACTATACACCCTTTAGGGGTGTACATAGGCCGGGTTGGTTCGGATTTTACGATTACCAAACTAAACCAATTGTGTCGGGTTATTAAATCTAAAGACCAAACCAAACCAATAAAACTCGAGTTTTTCAATCTCGGTTTTTCTCGGGTTTTCGGGTTTTTTTTCCCGGTAAAATCTTCGTAGAACAAAACATATAATGTATGCTCAAAATATTTCTTTAATCCTAGTAAGATACAACTATATAAAGTATTTTCCAAGAAAATAATACAAAATATGAGATGTGTCNTATTTTTCAAGAAAATAATACAAAATATGAGATGTGTCATGATATTATCCTAAAATATTCAACAATAAAGACAATAAAATTATGTAATATAAATATTGCTAATTAAAAAGCCATAATAAAAATAAACATAATCTAAAAGTACTAAGTCATGTTAAAATAAATAGACTAATAAAGGAGTATTAATTACATGACTAAACGCTAAAGAAAAATAAAAATAGGTTATGCATTTTTATCTAAATTATTGCAAAACAAAAAATAAATATTCAATACATTCTCGTTCGTAATATTGAATTGAATGTCTTTTGTTAGCATTAGTATTGATTTGATTTTGGTTTGGGCTTTTATTAGCATTATTTAATTTACTAATATTAATGGCTATAAAACTTATTGGAACATTCAAAAGTTCTAAGTCCAACCATGAAATAATACCTTAAAAGATAAAATTATGAAATTTTTTAAGAAATATTTATAAATTATATCATCATAAGTATATTTATATATTAAATATATCTAAAATTTCTATATATGTAATGTCGGGTTGGTCTGGTTTCGGTCTGACTTTCTTTAGTTAAAACCAAGTCAAACCAATTATGGTTGGTTTTTTTTTTCCAACACCAAACCAAATCAAACCAAACCATAGTCGGGTTTTTTTCTCGGTTTGACTTGGATTATCGGGTTGGTGCAATTTGTCGGTTTCCTTTGTACATCCCTAACACCATTAACATGAGTATCATGGTAAATTATGCAGTTTATTTATTATTTATTAAGAGGCGTACAAAGTCAACAGTAGATGACTAAAAGTGAATGGAGGGAGTACTTAGGACCCGTTTGACCATAGATTTTGGCAAAATATATTTGGAATTTTTTTTGGCAAATACATATTTGGCCATAGATTTTATCTACATCTTGGCAAATTTCCAAAACAAAAACCAAATCCCAAAACCAACACTATTACATTTTTAAAAAAATTGCCTCAAACTTTTATATTTTATAAAAGAGCCCACAATTTTTTATTTTGTAACAATACTGTTTCGTCTTCTCGGTCATCTGATAGTGTATTATGTAGTTTATTATAAAATAAATAATTTTGTTCCAAATTTATATATGTTCACGACTATGATTTGCGATAATATAATGAATGTTATTGATAAAGGTACTGTTAGGTATTTGTGATAGTTTTTAGAACTTATGTGTATAAGTCATGTTTTATGGTTTTTCAAAAAAAAAAAGTGAAATATGTTTTGAAAACTTATGTCCAAACACATTTTCATCTTCAAATCAAATAAGAAAAGATTTAATAAGCCAAAAATTTAGTAAATTTTTAAGTCTTAAACAAAATAAATCATTTAAACTACATTTTTATTCATTATAAAAGATATTTTTAAAAGATAAAAAGTCAATCAACATTCGTGTAAATGCTTCATGTTTTTATAATACTAGTTTTAGGATACGCGCATTGCGCGTGAACTCTATTTCAATGAATGAAAAATTCTACAAATAACACAATTATTAATAAACCATGTGATTGAGTTATAAATAAAAAATTTATCAAGTACAAAGCTCGTAAAAGAAATATTTAAAGACTTAGAAAATGTACACTCAAATTTTTAGCTAACATATTCATTCTCAATGTAAGTTTATTCAAATTCAGAAACAAAAATAAAAGTAATTTTTTTGCGATGTCACCATGATTTCAAAGTTATACTCGTTCTAAAAATGAGTTTATTAGAGTTATACTAAATTTTGACTTCTAATATGAGTTTAGAATCATAATAATTTAAAGGAACAAAAACACAAAGCGAGAGTATCTTAATCAAACTATTATGCTTATATGATATTTCGAGTTATAAAAAGATAATACAATAATTATAATTCAATAGTTTTGCCTCTAATCTCAAGAATATAAAGTTTATTTTCGTCTCTAGCCTCTTATCAATTTTTATTTTTGTCTCTTGTCCTCAGTGAAAATACAAAAATTGTCTCGGCAGCCAAATAATGATAGATGAAATTCAATCCGGAAAGTTATATATAACCACCAATACCTAAACGAAGTTGAGAACTCTACCACAAGTTTAAAAGCAGTACATACCAATTTTTTTTTTATTTATTTTTTAATGTTGTTTCATAAGAACAATATCAACTACATGTTGGGGAGTCATTAATCCAGCTCCCGTCATTCAGTGGCAGATGTAGCGTTATAATTATGGGTTTAATTAAACCCATAACTTTTAAGGCGGAGCATAAATTTATGTGCAAAAATTTATTAAATTTGTAATAAATAATGAGTATGAACCCATAACTGTAAAAATAAGATGGGTTCAATACTAAAATCCTTAAATATTGAACCCATAAATAAAATTAAAATCCTGAATCCATCTCTGAGAGCAACAAAAATTTCAAATCCCTATTGATTAATGAAGATGGATTAACCTCCAAGAAAATAATGTTAAGAAACTATCAAACATAGTTAAAAAAGGACTACCATCGAAATTAGCCTAGCTTCTGCCTTTTAGTTTAACACCAACGAAAAAAAAGAAAATAATATAAAAA